CTAGTTCTTTGATATTGAATTGGAATATATATATATATATATATATATATATATATATATATATATATATATATACATTTCTTTGAATATATTGTACTATTGTTCGGCGGAATTGAGCTTAGGCTCCACTATGGTGTTGTGATTGGACTGGTGTTTTGGATGGACTGATGTTACGATTGGATATTGTATTATTATGAATTTGCCTATTGATATATGCATTCCTTTGGCTATGTATATATACCAATATACCATAATTGATGTGTGAACTTTTTGGAATTCTATTGTTGATTACCTTGATTATATCTCTTGTCTTGGCCTTTGAGCCTAAGTTGAAGCAAGCATGTTTCTCTTATCATTCTTGGAATGAGTTTAGTTACAAGCTTTCTATGAAGTGAGTCCTTATTTTGTGAATTGAGTATTCTTGATTGAGTATGAGTCTTTTGGAATCCTCTATTGAATTGTTTCGTTGATATATATCTATGTACAGTCCCAAAACCTATTTTGAATATGAAAAGTATATGTATTTACGTATTGGAATGGAATTTACTTACCATTCTTTCGCTAATGTTTATAAAATATGTTTTCATGTTTGGAATAGATATGTGTTCCAAGAGCGCGCTATCTAGTCTTGATGGTTTAGTCCTACCCTTTTATCTTAGATAGATCTTATGATGAATTTTATTGAGTTATGTTTTGACTTGATGTAATAACCTTATGGATTTTATGAAGTTAGTTCTCGCCTTAGCATTTGGGTTTAGAATGACCTAAGTGTGGTATAACACCGCGTGACGTTGTTGGTTTAGCTTCCACATTTTGAGAAAATTTCCCTTGTTATTTTGTATAGTTCTGCAATAGAATTGGGGGTGTTACATTAAGCATACAAATCACGCACCTTAAGAAGGAAAACAACGCACCTTAAAAAGGAAAACCACGCACCTAAAGCTTTAGGCCGACGCACCTTAAGTTTCAACAACTGACGTACCTTAAACACACAAACCACACATCTTAAGAAGGAAAACCATGCACCTAAAGTTTTAGATCGATGCACTTAAGTTTTAACAACTGACGCATCTTAAGCCACACAGTACCAAAACCACGCACCTTAAGAAGGAAAATCATGCACTTTAAATTTGACCTAGATTCAAAAAGATCAAATTGCCACCACGTTTTTTTAATCATTGTTAATCTTGGACGTTGATTTAGGCAAGATCAATGACTCAGATTTAACCGCACAACTGCACGGGAGACACCCAACCAAATGTGAATTGAATTATATATATATATATATATATATATATATATATATATATATATATATATATATATATATATATATATATATGATGAACCAAATGTGGTAATAGGTTATAGGTGAAAGATGGGGTTTAATCTCAACCCTTGATCTAGCTAAAATCAACAACACAGATTGGAGAAAACTTTAAAAATAAATGCGGTGACATTATGGTAATTTTGCATATGTTCCAATTCAAAACTTAAGGTGCGTATGTTTAAAGTTTAAGGTGCGTAGTTTTATAGCTTAAGGCTTAAGGTGTGTCACTTTTTAGTTTAAGGTGCATCAATTTAAAACTTATGGTGCTTAAGTTTTAAGGTTAAGGTGCGTATGTTTAAAGCTTAATGTGCGTTACTTTCTAGTTTAAGGTGCATAAGTGTAAAACTTAAAGTGCGTAGTTTTATAGCTTTAGGTGCATATATTTAAAGCTTAAGGTGTGTCACTTTTCTAGTTTAAAGCTAAGTGTATCAGTTTAAAACTTAAGGTGCTTAGTTTTATAACTTAAGGTGAGTAGTTTTATAACATAATGTGTGTAGTTTTATATCTTAAGGTGCATCAGTTTGAGACAGTTGATCATTTGCATGCATGTTGGCAGGAAGCGCGTTTTTTTTTTTAATTTTTTTTATTGATTTAAGTCGTTATCTAGATTTGATCAACGGCTTAGATCTCACTCCATCTTTCATCGGGGAGACTCTCTGCATGTGAACTGAAATCACACACACATATATGTATATGATTTGGATCAAATAAAAACATTGTCACCGTTAAGAATTAGAATCCAATTCAACAACTTTAAAGCAAAGAGAGAAGGAAAAAACATAGTGACATTTTTATAAATAACTCAAAGTTTGAAATACAATTAACAGTACCATAAATTAAAGTGCAACTAACAAACGCAACCATCATATGATTCATATTGCTTGACAAAAATTGAAATTAAACTTTTTTTATATAAATTAATTACGGAAAAACATTGACTAAAATTATTACAATTACGTAATTGAAAGACTAAAAAAGAATGTTTCCTGAATTGAACGTAACCAAAGGTGCTGACGGCTACGTTTCTCATCAATATGAATATTTTGGGTCTTGGGAAGAATGAATATTTTGGGTGTACCCAGGTTTTTGTCGTAGTCACCTATATTTGAAAATTTAAGATTATTTCATACCCCAAAAATTAAAGATTGAACCCTTAATGCTATTATATTGTGACTAAATTAAAGGACAATAATTGCAAGCTAAGAGAGAGTTACAGCTAGCTTCTCCTTAAAGATTGAATCCCCAACTTCAATAATCCTCACACTCCCACTAGTACAGAAACAGTCATTCGCGTCCAAAGTAAAGCCTCATTCGCGTCCAAAGTAGCTGGGACGCAGATGTCGGGGACGCGAATTGTATATACAATTCGCGTCCAAAGCTACTTTGGACGCGAAAAATGATTAATCGCGTCCAAAGTTGAAGAACTTTGGACGCGATTTATCCGATCTGATTGTTGACTACTGACTTTTCGCGTCCAAAGTTGGTCAACTTTGGACGCGAAATGTCAGTAAATCGCGTCCAAAGTTCTTCGACTTTGGACGCGATTTATCATTTTGTTTTAATAAAATGATAATTCGCATCCAAAGTTGAAGAACTTTGGACGCGAATTATTGATTTTTTTTTTTAATTTTATTTTAACGCGATGCTCCACACTTTGGACACACATGCAAGTCTTTGTTTTGATTCCAATACAAAATACAGTCGTTTGGACATGCATGGATCCTTTCAATCTCCATACTCAACGGACATAACATTTTCTTTGCCTCATAAGTTGAACTAGGAAGTTCATTCTCATTTGGAAGCATGCCCTTTAAAAGCTCTAATAACTCCGTGAAACTCTTATCACTCCACCTATGTTTTGCTTTTACGGTATACAATTTAAGCACGGCTGATAACTTTGTAAATTTACTACATCCAGAAAACAAAGGTTTTCCAGAACTCTCAAAAAAACTTTCAAACTCTTGAGGCATTTGATTCAAATCCCCTTGCATATCCCGCATCAATTCATCTAGCCGATCATTGTCTCCATCATTTCTAACATTATCTTCATTACTTTGATCTTTCTCTTGATTTTTTCTACATTCTCTTTGATTTGTACTGTTACTAGTAAGGACAGTTTCACCATGCCATATCCACCGGTCATATCCTATCTTAAAACCACGACGTATCAAATGTTCCTTAATTTGTTCAGAACTACGAAACTTTTTTAGATTTCTACAATCATAACAAGGACACACTATATAATTTTCACCAATTTTACTTGCATATTCCTCGGCAATTTTAACAAACTCTTGAACCCCATGAACATATTCAAGTGTATTGCGTTTTTTATACATCCAACTCCGATCCATATCTCCTATATATTGTCACACAACATTTAAGAAATGATAAATGAGTTAGTTTCTTAAGTTATAACTTAAAGGTTCAAATTAAAGCTTTAACTAAATTTATCAACAATACCTAACATATACAATAATACACAACGAATTTGTCAATAATGTCTAACTTATACAATAATACACAACAAATTTGTATATACAATAAACAAATAATCCAATAATTAATGATTTACGAATACATCAAATGCAATGTAGGTAATTTTCTTCCACCAATGCTACAATAACCTTTGATCCACAATTACTAAAATAACTATTAATATTTTAACCAAGTAACAACATTATCCAAATTAAAACATTTATAAAATTATACGGTAAAGGTGCAATCTCTATAAACAAATAATACAAATAACTCAACAAATTTGTATATACAACAATAACAAATAATACACAATAAACAACAATAACAAATATACAATAATACACAATAAACAACAATAACAAATAACAAACAAAAAAAATTAAAATAATTAATTATTTTCGAAAAAAAAAATAAATAAATTAAACAAACTCACCGTACCTCTGCCGGCGTTCGTAGCAGCGGCGGTGGTGGCGGTGCGATGTAGCAGCGGCGACCGGCGGTGGTTGGCGTGGTAGCAGCAGCGGAGACCGGCGGTGCTTGGCGTGCGAGGAGCAGCGACGACCGGCGGGTGTGAGGTCTGAACGGCGGACGATGAACGGCGAGCGAATTGAAGGACGGAGGAAGGAGACGGCGGAGAGGTCGTCTGATTTGGGGGGTTAGGGCGGAGAGCGGGCTGAAATGCTGAATTGGATTTGGGGGTAGATTAGAAATTTAATTCGCGTCCAAAGTTGCCAATTTTGGACGCGAATTATATCCGCATTAAGTCATTCGCGTCCAAAGTTGGCAACTTTGGACGCGAACTTTGGTCTCATTAAATTATTCGCGTCCAAAGTTCGAAACTTTGGACGCGATTTATTTAAAAAAAAAAAAAATATAGTGGCAATTTAATTACAAAATTGCCACCGCACTACACATTCGGCGTCCAAAGTTGTAACTTTGGACGCGATTTATACGATCTTATTGATATTTTTTGTACTAGTGTCCGGCTCAATATAGTATTTAGAAGGATGTAAATTAGGTTAACTCAATAGTCAAATGTTGGTATAAACAAGAATTTCTTCGTTTTGGGCATAATTCCAACACTACCGCTACTGAGATTCAAACATTAATCTCTTCTCTCAAATATTACATATTGAACCAGTAAGTTAAGTTCGTGTGAACAGAGTTACAGCTAGCTTTAGACTGGTTGAATCTAAAAGTTGTTATCCACATCCCCATTGCATTCATCCTTGGCATTTGTGGGAAAAGCCAACAACCCCAAATCCATGGTGAAGTCCAGAAAATAAAGCATGAAGACCAGGACAACGCAACACAAGAACATCGGAATTGGTCCAAAGATCCACAAGAAAAGTGGGAAAGAGAAGTAAAATGCTCTGAGCCCCAGAGACCAAAAATAGCTCCCTCGATTCACTGTCATCCCCACGTACTCCTCCGACGTCACCACACAACGGTACCGGCGTTTCGGAGCCTCCGATGTGGCCTGCATTATTTTCTGGTAAGGAACGTTAACTAGGATGCTGGCATGGCTGTAGTATCTTATGGACTGGATGTTGAAGAAGAAAGCCACCAGGACACAAACCAGTATCGAGAAGAACTTTATGCTCGAGCCCAGATCGCTCTTGTCGCCGAAGACAAGTGCGTTGGAGCGATCCCTGGCGGCGCCGCCTGTCATCATGACGGCGATGAGGGAGCTGAGCATGATTGACGTGGAGGCTAAAAGGGCGGATGCCATTATGTTGTTTCTCAATGTCTGAATTGCTAAAACCCCATTCTTGGACACATCCTGTTAAGATCAAGCATTTATCACAACGTTATTTTCTTGTCATCACATTTTTGACGACTTTATTTTCTTGCCATCACATTTTCGAGATGCTGGATGCTGGACTTGCCTTCTGGCCTCCGCTCAATAATTTTCCCCTCCCAGCACCAATTAATTTACCACTTGTTAGGATCATATGCTTACCATTTACGCCAAAAGCTATAGCTAGTAGCGAAGATCTAACTTTATTTCTTTATAATCGTCGTCACATATTTCATATTTGAGATACTGGGTGTTGGACTCGGCCTTTATTCTTGCCTCCGCCCAACAATCAGCCACTGAGTGTTGGACCTAGTCTTTTTATCGGCCTCTGCCCAACATATAGTGTAGTGTTAACCCAGCTACCTATGCATTTAATGGAGGATAAAATAAAAGAAAATAATGGATGGAAAAGGAAATGGGAAAGGGAAAGGGAAAGGGAAAGGGGAAGACTACCTCCATCATAGCACGGACCCAGAGGCGGCGGTTGATTGCATTGACGCCGATGACGGTGCGGTTGGGGTTGTTCATAATCTGCAGAAGAAGCCATAGGTGATAAGCCACCATAATCAAGAGGCCTAGTGGGACTAACGCGTAATCAATAACTTGGTTTCTCATATTCTTTGATTTTGTTCTTTTTTACTCTTTGCAGAAAGAGGAAGATTGGTTTAGTATTCTTAACAATATACAAGAAAATAGGAAAATGAAAATGATAATGTATTTTCAGAAAGTAACTCTTCATCAATCGTTATACCGTGCATCAGGGCGCACATAGCACTGTGCGCCTCGCGCCTCCTAAAACGACGTCATTTGTTAAGTTGTTAAAAAAGAAATCCTCTGTTTCGAATGCACATAAATTCATAACAGAATACACATAAATTTATAAATGAATACATATAATCTACATAATACATAATACACATAAACTTTTAACTGAATACACATAATGGGGTTTGGTTAACATAATACACATAAACTCTTATTGAATACACATAAACTCATTACACAATACACACAGGGACGGAGCCAAAGGGGGGGGGGGGGGGGGAGGGGGACAGCTGCCCCCCCTCACTCCAACCCCACCCCATATATAGTCTTTGTATGTATATATGTATATATAGTACAAGTTTTAGTATTAGTATAAAATAATTATAAAATGTTAACAAAGAGTGAGTTGAATTAGGTGGTAGAGTATATATTTAGCAATAATGAGGTCAAGGGTTTAAGTTTTGGCATCAACATAGTTTTACAATTCTTTTTACTCATTCCCCTATGACTTCAACATAGTCACGCTTTTAATTTTTGGCATCAACATAGTTTTACAATTCTTTTTACTCATTCCCCTACGACTTCAACATAGTCACGCATGACTTCAACATAGTCACGCTTTTAATTTTTGGCATCAACATAGTTTTACAATTCTTTTTACTCATTCCCCTACGACTTCAACATAGTCATGCTTTAAATAGCTTTCTCTCTCTCTCTCTCTCTCTCTCTCTCTCTCTCACACACACACACACACACACACACACACACACACACACACACACACACACACACACACATATATATATATATATATATATATATATATATATATATATATATATATATATATATATATATATATAACATTCTTTTATATTAATAATAAGATGTGTAATTTATAATGTGTTTTCTATTCAAATTATTTTATCAAATTAATTATGTTTCATATTTTGTTATGAATATTTTTATAAAGTTTCAATGTGTTTTATTTTTCGTCCATATTTAACAATATTTACAACTATATTTCTTGGGTAATTTATGTATTTATTTTTAAATTATCTCTTTTGTTTTAATGTTTCGCCTTTACTGGACAAATTTTCTAAATTCGTCTGTACTGTTTCGCCCCCCTCAACCGAATTTCTGACTCCGTCCCTGAATACACATAAACTTTTGACTGAATACACATAATGGGGTTTGGTTAACATAATACACATAAACTCTTAATTGAATACACATAAACTCATAACACAATACACATGAATTTTTAATTGAATACACATAATGGGGTTTGATCTATTCGGATGGACGGAGTGACGTCAGTATGACATCAGCATGAAACACGCGCATTTTGTGTTTGGGCGCACATTGCTATGTGCACCGTGGTGCACGATATAAATTGCCACTCTTCATCGGAGTAATTAAAACCATCTCACATGTGCTTAGTTCACCGATTCAGTAGACAATATTTGAGAGAAGAAATCAATGTTTGAATCTTGACGGTGACAATATAAGAATTATGTCCAAAATGAACAGATTTCTTATGTACACCAAAAAGTCGGGGTTGAGAATTCAATATTTTGAAAGAGGAGAAGTAATTAAAACCAAATTACTTTAGAACATAAAATAAAATAATTAAAATAGTATTACACTATTACTCAAGAAAATATTCTACTCCAATATATAACAAGTATACTTATATTCTGATGTGGAAAAAATGCATTTGTCCTAAATTTATTGCATAAAAATTTAACCATCTAGATTTGTTGGAATGGTCCATATAAAGTTAAGGATCATGCTAGCGACCTTTAAAATTACTATTCTGTATTAATCACTCATTGACGTGTCATTACATAAATTTCTTATTAATTTGAGGTCGGATAACCAATTTACCAATAATATATATAATCCTAGTTGTTAAAAGGAAAAAATAGAATGGAGAGAAAAGGGGAATCTCATCTTCATTCATTTGTACCTCTATACAACAAGCATGGAGTATATATACATACAAGGTAATTGACGGAAGCAATAATGAGAGATAATTACATAACCGTTACAAACGTTACAATACTATATAATAATGTCCATAACAAGTATAATATTTATAATACTCCCCCTTGGACATTATTTGATCACGATTTTGTCTCGTCAAAAACTTGTTAGGAAAACCCCGTGGGAAATACCTAGACAAGAAAAGAGTACAATAGAAAATATATTCATGCCTCATTAAAAACTTCACTAGGAAAACCGCGTAAGAAAAACCTAGTTGAAGAAAAGAGTACATGATATTGTAAAATCATGTATTGTACTGATTGCCTCATTAAAAACCTTAACTTAAGAAAACCCTGTGGGAAAAACTTAGTTAAGGGAAAAAGAGTACAACCATAAGCCTTCAAGGCATAACCTGCATAATCTTCAGGATTTTGGAGTTTGTCCATTTAAGTAATTATTTTGCAACCTTTTCCATTGTCATTACTATATCATACTCATGCCTCGTTAAAAACCTTATTAGAAAAACCCGATGGGAAAAATTAGTTGAGGAAAAGAGTGCATGATGTATGTGTCGTTAGTCATCAATCTTGAGGATTGATTCATGTAAAATTATACTCCCCCTCAAGATAACAATCTTGATATCCTATACATTAAATTTCCAAAATGTATATACGAATCTTGTAAATAAATATGTACAATAATTGTCAACCAAATATACTTTATAATAAACCCGTGACTATCCTGGAGCTCACGTGGGTATAATATTGACACCATAATATCTTAGTCAAAAGATTTCATTATATATTATTTTATCATTTGAGCGACACAATCTTTATTGTCCTTTTATAGGACAATGGGAGTAAATAGAGTACAACCAGTTTTGGAACTTGACATTATGGGATACAAAAATAATAGCCAGTACCCAAGTAGCCCATTATATATTGATTTGTATAAGTATCTAATCAAAATCAAGTATAAGCTAACTGCTATATAAAAAAAAAAAAAATTCAAGGAAAAACTCGATCTTCAAGTCGAGATTAGCTTTCACAAGCTTTTTATTTCAAAAATCTCAGTCTTTAAACATGAACTGACATCTTCAAGCTCTTTATATATTTCATTGATGTTTACACCATAAATATTGACCGAGATAATAAATAAGTCCATTATCAACTCTTTATTGAGCACATAATGATACATATTATTCCTTCTATATGAGGATAATAACCCCATTTGCAACTCTTTAAAAGGTAAATAATGACACTTAAATAAATCCTCATTTCGGGAATTATAAATCCATTAGGGATTTTTCAAGATAAACTAGAGGATATATTTAGGATATTATCAAGAGGAAACAATATTTAAGTTTCCCAATCACATATAACATTACTTTGTTCTTGGGGAGAAAATACCTTTAGTCAATTTATTGACTATAAGAAAGATCATAGTTACTAACTTACTAACTTACTAACTTTTATACTACTTATTTTTGTGATTTTCATTCATCACATTTTGAGAAAGTCCATCAAGGATTTTAAATATAATAACAAGTTACCCATATAAATATGTGATAACTATAACTATTAGCTACATATCTAATTTATTTACTACTAGTTTTATTGAATAGCGGAATATAAAGCCATGACTAATATTGGGTCTCTGCGAAAACCCTCAACTCGCATTTTATTAGCGAATTTTGATTTGTATGCCTTAATTGCTGTTTTCTATGAAAACAGTTAGCACGCTGCAGGCGTTATACTACTATTTTCATTTCTGGATCCAGATTTAAGTATTATGAGCAATAGAGGCAAAATATGTTGTCGACAATTGTAACAGCTTTGTAAATATCTTTTATACACATGACAATCTTGTATCAACCAAATATATGGCATCTCCCAAGAGTATTTGGATTTGGTTGTTCCGCTTCCCCAGTATTTTAGTTATTTGGTGCACCTACAATTTTACTGGGGGTTTTCGCCTTCTAGACGAATATCTTCAGGATAAAATTTCTATATTTCTGGAGTGACGAAATTTCTATACTAGATCTAGTTTTGTAAATTCTTAAATCAATTTATGCTTCTGGCATAATGGTAGAGATGTTTAGTCCTAGTTGGGGATTTCAACTCTTAAGATATTTTCTATGGACTTAGTCACTCCTTGGGATTTCTAGCAGATAATTTGTTCAATGTATGAACTTCTGGTTCTATAAGGCTAGTACATGGGTTTGAAGATTTTTATCAATTTCTCAGCATTTAATTAATTAGAAATTTCAAATCTCCCCCTAATGTCGAGAAAAGATCTTATAATGCAACCAACATCACTGTTTATTTCTCATGATGGGATATAGCTAGAAGGGTTGCATGCTAAAAAAATTGAACACAGATAGGGAAATGCATCATGCACTAGCGTATGTGCATGATATGTAGTGGATCAAGATACTGGTTATTCAATTTTTGAAGGTCCCCAAAAAGCATATTTCCTTCAAAATTGCATAATTTGTTTTCCAAACAAAGCTCTATTAAGATTTAGAGCTTTAGTTAAAAAATATGATATTGTGTATCTTAATTAAGTGTTTTATGACAATTAGAGAAACAAGTAGAGTACTCAACATACAATGGAGTGAACTCATCAAGATGACTAAACATGTTTTCTTGTGAATCAACAATTTGCATACTTCACCGATAAATTATACGGATGCATTCAGATTGAAATTTTTTTTTTAGGAAAAACCTTAACACATTTTTACACCAAATTTTGCAGATATGAAATTCAGCAAGTCTTGAAAGTACATAAAAAATTTCATGTCAATCCAAGGTGTGGAAGTATTTTTGCGAAAATTTTTCCAACATTGCTCCAGGCAAAAA